GTTTATTCCTGTGCAGTACTCACATTTGTCTGGGTTAGGGTAAGGGTGAGTAATTGTGCCTTGATGACCGACAAATATGGGGATAATACAGTATATATTGGACTTGTCTCTCTTTGTTACGGTCTATATTAACACTGAGTTTCTCATTTTATGTCATAACAGTATCTTTTTGTGTTCCAGAAGTGTAGATAAAATGTATGATGCTTCCATTAAAAAGGTTTCACCATTGATAGATATAAGCTGTAATATCACAACCTCATTTTCCACACACTCCAAGACTTTTATTTATGTACCTGTAGGGTAAGTAGGTTTTAGTGACTCGCATCTGTGTTGTTTTTTTTACCTATTAATGTAAAGATCATTTTACTACAGTTGTTAAGAGCTAGTTGGTATAGTTACAAGACTTTTATGAGTGAGTGCAAAATGATCAAAATTTCTTACACTATAAACATATATTGTTTTTTTTACAAGATTAATTAATGCAAATAATAAGCAGCTAAATTTAGTTACATGATGTCTTAAGATTCATTTTAATTTCTGGGCTGTTCATATCCTAAAATGGCACTTTCATGCTTTCAATACATGAAAAAGAAACTAAAGCCGAATGACAATAATTTTAAAAATGCAAGGTTTAGCAAGTAGCTAGGGTTCTGATTTACCCTATAGTAAGGGCAGGGCATGTTTTACTGTTATATCTAACAATGAGGAACACTCCTGTAGACTGTAGCTCTTACAACTGGTTGATTTCTTGTCATTTCTGTTTTCCATGTAATTATGGTGTGTGTCCGAATTGGTGGTTGCATTAGTGGATGGGTATGAGCAAATAAGTGTATGAGTGATTGATTGTATTTGTCTGAGTGCATGTGGGCATGCTTGTCTACACACCAGCGTTAACTGTGTTTACTGCACTGTGCAGCCTTTATCTATGAGCAGACTGTGACAGTGGGTCACAATGAGACATGGGTTCTCTCATTGGAAAGTAGCAGAATTGAGCATAGACATCAGGTTCAAATATGGATAGAGTGTTGCATTGGCCTATAAAAGGGAGTGGCCAGGTTGGCAGTTTTCAGGCTCAGAAATCATCATTCAAAAGTCTCTCTTTGTACTTTGTGTTTTAATTATTCTTCGTATTCGTCGCACTTTTTATTGGAGACACTTTTCAGTTTACTAATCACTTCTGGTCAGGGTTGCAGGATGTACTGTAATCAGGGTTCTACATAAGCCATGGCCCAGGGTCAGTAAAAAAAGTATGTCGGTCAAGTTGATTGGCTGCTAGTCACAGTGTAGCATGTTGAAGATAACTTATTAGCTAGCTGAGTAACTTATTTCTCATGAATGATGTTAGGCACAAAATGTGACCATGTCACATCACATCGGCCAGTCAGCTAGCGACCAAACCTCATTACGTAGCCAAGCTATGCTACAGTAACCATCTGCCTTAAGCATAGCTACACTGGCTAGCTAATTTATGAGACTTTAATGTTTAGTGTCCGTTGCGAATACAAAAATATACAAGTACTTACAAGACCATACTCCCCATATTCATTAGTGCTTTATGGCCCTTCCTGCTTTTGTTATTATCCATAATGACATATGTTATCCAATATCCAAGCCTCTCGTTCAAATTGCAGAAGCTGGGAGCAATTTGAGCTGTCGCGGACATGTTTGGTACTCAGAATTACTGCTGCATTGTGAATATATTGCATTGCCCTGGCGATGGTAGCCATTTATTTCAAATCTCCTTTGCCATGTGAAATTGCTGTTTACCTGTGTGGTGTGTTTACATTTACAGAATAACCAGATGAAGGTAATCATTAGTTTGAATGTGTTTTAATGAGTTGATTCCTTTAGTAACCTGAAACCAGTAGCAGGAATAGCATTTAATGGACAATCCCACTTGACAAAGCGCACGCAACTGTGAGACGAAAAAAGCAATGGATGATTTGGGAGTCGCTAACCTGGACTGTCTTGCAAACTCACTGCAGCTTGTTCCATCGCAACTAAATGTAACTGAGCTGACACCAATGGGAGAAAAATTGTGTTCAAATTTTAAGCATTCGCCACTTGTGTATACAGTACTTGTTTTGAAGATATTCATATTGAACCGCAAATGCCTCAAAAACGCTTAAAACAAGACGTACAAATGAGGTGGAACAGTACGTTAGGTGTGTTTGTAGTAGCCTAATTAAATATTTTTTGTCCTACATTTTTTCCATCTGTATTTACTAGCTTAAAATTAATATATAAAGTATAACAAAGTAAAAAGTGCTCTTGTATCGGTATCGTCAGCTGTGTATCGGAATCAGATTGGAACTGAAAAAATGTGCATCGGCCTATTAGTAACTCAGTTACTCCTCAAGTTCAAATTATGAACAAATATATACTATATAGATAAAAGTATTGGGACACACCTCTGTCATTGAATTCAGGGCTTTCATTCAGACCCATTGCTGAAGGTTTGTAAAGTCAGGTTTACAAACATTTGTGAAAGAATGGGTCATTCAGTGAATTCAAGCGTGGTACTGTCATAGGGTGCCACCTTTGCAATAAGTCAGTTTGTGAATTTTCTTCCTTCTGGGTACTTCACAGTCAACTGTATCATTGCAAAGTGGAAGCATTTAGGAACAACAGAAACTACGACATGAAGTGCAGAGCATGTAAAGCAACAGAGTGGGGTTGCTGAATGCTGAGTGCTATAAAAATTGCCTATGCTCTGTTGACTCAGTAACTGCAGAGTTTCAAACTTCCTCTGGCATTAACCCCAGCACAAAAACTGTGTGCCAGGAGTTTCATGGAATTGGCTTCCATGGTTAAGCAGCTGCATTCAAACCTCACATCACCAAGTGCAATGCCAAGCATTGGATAGAATGATGTAAAGCACGCCACCACTGGACTCTGGTGCAGTGGAAACATTTTCTGTGGAGTGACAAATTTTCTGTTTGGCAGTCTGATCGACGAGTCTGGGTTTGGTGGATGCCAAGAGAACATTACCTTCCTGACTGCATTGTGCCAGCTGTAAAGTTGGTGGAGGAGGGATAATGGTATGAGGTTGTTTTTCAGGGGTTGGCATAGGTCCCTCAGATATGGTTCATTAGAGACCAGGTAGGATGGAAAACCTGCTGGACGCCGGCAGTCCAGCATCAGAGTTGCCTACCCCGACCTAAGAAGAAAATGGTTTGGTTCTTTATTGTTTAGATGAATCATTATACAAGATATATACATGAATATTAAATTAATAAGTTTTATGGAAAAATATCCCAAGGGCCAGGGGACCAGTGGTGGAAAACGTTACATTGGATACCAAGTAGCTTCTTCATAATAGTGAGGGTTACGTTTTGAGGATTCCCATGAATGTGAAAATTCATGTATAACATTTGGGCGCCCCTAACGTCAACCCATAATAGTCTGCTAGCCTGAACAAAGATAAAAAGTCTATTACCAATTTCTAAACAGACAGTACTGCACTATACACTTTGCCTTGTCTTTTCTTATCTGGACCTTTTTGTATAATCAACAGACCATCTAAGCCAGTGTTTCTCAACCCAGTCCTCAGCGAACCCCAGCCAGTCCACGTTTTTGCTCCCTCCCAGCCAATCAGGAACACCGAATAGCTGGTACAGGTGCGCTGGGAGCTGGGAGGGAGCAAAAACGTGGACTGGCTGGGGTTCGCTGAGGACTGGGTTGAGAAACACTGATCTAAGCTATGGCCCTGTATGTACAAAGGCACCACTCTATGCATTGGGAACACTACATTTTGGACTCATTATTAAAAATCAAAATTTCCAGCACTGAGAAGCTAAAACGTTGCTGCAAGAAACAGAAGATACTATGATACAAAGATACGAAGATGCACGGCATACCCAAGCAAAGATACAGTATGCAAGATACAGTATGCATTTACACTAACGAGTATTAGTATCAGTATTTATATATTGTATCATTTTTTTGTGATCTGTATTGTTTTTGGCTTATGTGCACTGTTTGAGTTTCTGCGATTTTTCAACAATCTCCAAAAATGTTCCCATTTAATTGTTCTTGGCCAAAAATAACCAAAAATGGGAATGTCAAGTCCACGGTTCCTCTATTATGTTTCTTGACTGCATTCACATTCGCTCAACTTCTACTCTCATACATTGTTCTCTACACATTTCTAATGACTTAGGGTTGTACTCCCCTATACAGTATTGTACATACACATATTTTTTAGGATCTATCCACCAACTTCCATGTACGAGTATTATACTTTTACAACCCACATTTGAACAGTTTTAAAAGTAAAGTTCAAGGGTCATCTTGGGTTTCTACATGTCTGTCTATATGTGTGTATATCTACAGCTGTCTGTTTATATGCTTGTCTCCTCCCATCTGTGTCTACATCCATACCTTGAGCAGCATGTCAGCTATGTCTGTTCTGCTTTGCATTTCAGAAACACCTCCCCAAATTTTCCAAAGGAGATCAACATAACTGGAAATCATATGGACGAAGGCAAGCGACTTGTCTTTTTACTGTCATTTCGATTATTGCTTTGTTTGAGATGGAGGTTCATGCAGGTACAGACAAAGTTAGTAATACGGAGACTGCAGTAAATGGTTCAGTGTGCCACCTTCTGGAAAAGCCAAATTTAGTCTCAAAGCGTGTGGGGGAGGGACGTGACTGTGATGCACCCCCTGTTTTCAGTGTGTAAGCCCATGGGAGGGGCCTTGTCAGGGAGGCCTGCTGATTCTTGTATTGAGGCTGATGTTTGCTAAACCATGGAACTGCACTGATGTACAGCACTCTGCAAAGGTCTTTAGCAATCAAAATAAATGTTTAAAGCTATTTATCTGTGTAGTAAGTGTACTTTTGCTTTGAACAAAAAACACAATTTAACATTAGAACATATACAAATAACAAGAACTAGAATAACACAATAAAAACTAGTAAGAAATTCTTCTGTTCTCCAAAAAATTGCGGATATCTAGTTTGATGGCTAGATGAACACTGCCATTCCATGTATTTAAATTTCGCCACCAGCTCACTTAACTAATTTAATTAATTAAAAAGTCAAGTAAAAAAATACGTGTGTATTGGATGGTTGCCGCAAATGCTGGCGTGATTTTTAGCAGAAGTTTTGAAATGGCTAAGCTGACACACTATAACAGGCATAATAGTATGGTTTTAGCCCAACATGAAGATCATTTAAACATCATTTTCTTTAGTTGCCAAAGACTTCTGCATAGTACTGTACATCTGTCTGTCTTGCCTTTATAATCTCCATTTTTCTAGTCCTAAATGTGTAGAGCTAGTAATGTACACGTTCCTGTAATTTACTCTCTTTTAAATATACAGGCATTTCCTCGTCCTAAATTTCCTTCTGGATAAATAAAATATCTCGGTCTGTCTGTCGGTCTGTCTGTCGGTCACCCCCCCTACCCCCCTCTGATCACTTGATCCTCCCGTGATGCAGAAATGAGTCGCCAGACCGCCACAGCGCTGCCCGCCGGAACATCAAAGTGCACTCCCTCCCAGCGAGTGCCAGCGCTGCCGGGCACCACTGCCTCCAACAGCGACCTGGCCAGCCTGTTCGAGTGCCCCGTCTGCTTCGACTACGTGTTGCCGCCCATCCTGCAGTGCCAGAGCGGCCACCTGGTCTGCAGCAATTGCCGGCCCAAGCTTACGTGCTGCCCCACCTGCCGTGGACCTCTGGGGTCCATCCGCAACTTGGCCATGGAGAAGGTGGCCAATTCTGTGCTGTTCCCCTGCAAGTACGCCTCCTCCGGTTGTGAGGTCACGCTGCCACACACAGAGAAGCCGGAGCATGAGGAGCTGTGTGAGTTCCGGCCCTATTCCTGCCCCTGCCCTGGAGCATCCTGTAAGTGGCAGGGCTCACTGGACGCCGTCATGCCCCACCTGATGCACCAGCACAAGTCCATCACCACGCTGCAGGGCGAGGACATCGTCTTCCTGGCCACGGACATCAACCTACCGGGCGCCGTGGACTGGGTCATGATGCAGTCCTGCTTCGGCTTCCACTTCATGCTGGTGCTGGAGAAACAGGAGAAGTACGACGGCCACCAGCAGTTCTTTGCCATCGTGCAGCTCATTGGAACACGCAAACAGGCCGAGAACTTTGCTTACCGCCTGGAGCTCAACGGACACCGCCGCCGACTCACCTGGGAGGCCACGCCCCGCTCCATCCATGAGGGCATCGCTACGGCTATCATGAACAGCGACTGCCTGGTGTTTGACACGTCTATTGCTCAGCTGTTTGCCGAGAACGGTAATTTGGGCATCAATGTGACCATCTCCATGTGCTGAGTAGCATACATGCAGAGCACCTCTTCAAGGACACCTGGGAGTTCTGTTCTTTGGGAGAACTTTCCTCTTGAACTTACCCATGGTAGTGCTTAGCAGCTATGTGTTGGGCCCACATGTGAGTTGCATGGGTAGTTATTGTTGCAGGCCCTGCACTGAGGCACAGATCTTTGTCACCTTGAAGGGATATTGGTGGGCCCAGGAAATAGGAGACACCCATGTGGAGAGCCTGCAGATCAGCAGATCTTCATTGCAGAAACTCTGATTCCCTTGAATATGACCCAGATTGTGTGCTCTTTCTAGAAACTACACATTTGCACCAACTGTAATTCTCAATAATATTTGGACTTTTTCCAAGCTTCAGTTAGTTGTGTGTTAGCTAGCATTGATAAGCTATGACGGGGAGGCTGGGCATTAATTCCTCTGCAAAACAGCCCGAGGCGCTTCTGTGCGAACGTAAAGGGGACTCGCACGTCACTGGTGGATTAGCGGGAAGGAGGGGGGTGTTTTTAAAGCTGTGGGATATTTGAAGCATCAGAGGGCTGGTCTTAGTTTTCTAAGTTGGTCTAATTTACATGATTTCAGTTCCATTCAAGGTGAAATAGCAGCTTGTATCAGTCTTGTTTAATTTTTGTTCCTACTGTTTTCTTGATTTCCATCAAGGGAAACAACGGTACAGATTTTGCTCTGTGGACAGATCCGCTGGCTTAGACAAAACGTGTCCTGACACTGCAGCTGTGGTTTCCGCCTTTAAGCGTCCACCTGCCACTGGGACCATTAATGCCATTCTGTTAATAATATTATTGTAATTATCATTTTTGTAAGGAATTTTAAGAAAAGATGTTGTAAAGCTGTGGATAATTTTGTGTTTGTAGGCTGATCGTTCTTTTAAATATACAGCTTTTTTTTTTTTTTTTGTCCTGTCCTTGCAGAGCAGAAGGCTGACAGATCCCTCCTCAACATATAGGTCTGTTCAAGCTATATTCAGTCTCTGTGCATCACTACAATTTACTTTCTTTGTGTCATTAAAATAAATCTATCTTTTTCATACCTCTGTGATGCTCATGTTTGATAAAAGCTGCCTTTGTTGGGAGGGGCAGGTTTGTTGTTTCTGCGGTCCCATTCAAAAAGTCGCTTTGTGACCCCCCCTTACCCTGGTGTAGTGACTGCGACCCCCATACCCTAGTGAAGTGACTGTGACCCCGTTCCCTGGTGTAGTGACTATTTGTGACCAGCAGGGAGAAGGTATGGTTTGAGTGGTGGTAAACTCTGTTTTTAATTTCAAGATGTGACAAAAACTGCTTACCACTCCTTGTCACTAATGCCCTTGTTAGGGTTAATCAGGTTAATGCAGTAATGTAAGAAATAAGCTACCTTTCATTCCCAGCAGTTACAGCTGTTTCTATCTATACATTATTTCTTATATTTCCCAAGTGTTTTACAGATGAAATACGGCTGAATTTTTCATTGAGGAACTGAAAATCAGTACCATATATGGTGCAAAAGCAATGCCCACTATGCACCTTGAATGAGAAGTATTTCAGCTAAAGACCCAAATCCTTAACCAGTACACAAAATGCACTAAAATTTTGTACACTAAAAATTATTTATCCCCATGGGGAAATTCTCTTTTTACGCCTCCCTCAACTTGCTCTTTGTGGAGTAAGTTGTCCACAAAGGGCAGCCACCCCACCTGTAGTGGTGCCCAGGGAGCTGGGGGTTAAGTGCCTTGCTCAAGGACCCGCAGATGTGCTGAGGCTGGGTTTGAACCGGCAACCATCTTATTACTGGTACACAGGCCTAGCCCCTGGGTGGTGATAGACCCAATGGAAATTATGATTTCATACCAAACTGACAGGCATCCTTCCAGAAGTTCAGTTCTGCAAATAATAATTTATTAAAATAGTGCAGAAAAAGTTCTGCTTCTTCACAGAGTTACTAAAGCAGCCGGCGCACTGCTGCTCTTTGAGCCCAGGTGTGGACGGTACCTGTGACATGGGACCCCTTCCTATCATCCAGGCTGATATGCCCTGGCCGCAAGGATTACGATCACTATCCGCAAAAAAAATGTAACAGGAGTACTATTTCTGTCACTAACAAAGCTCCAGATGATGAAGCCGGAGGAGAGAGTCTGTGTGTGACAGGGATGGCAAAGATGCTGCCTACCTCACCTGTTAGCCTGATGTAAAGAGGTCTCATCCGTGACATGAGTGACATCTTCACCTCATACTACATATGGTGGCTGAAGAATCTGTCTGTTCTCTAGGTGAGATGGACACACGCTCTATGGGCAGTTATTAGACACCTACTTAACCAAATGTTTTTGAGTTGTGGGAAGAGACCATTGCAAACTTCAAGTAAACAAGGACACTCCAAAGAGCAAAGTCTAGAGTAGGAGTCAAACCCCCAGTCTGAAGGTATGAGGCTACAGTATTAATTCATATGTGACCTTGCAATTTCAAGATTAATGTAATTAAGTATATGTATTAAACACCTGAAAACTCAATGAGTATTCACCCCTTTTATTGTTAAGAATAGTCTAGGTATCAGGCCCAGTTTAATAGGTGCAGTCTGAAAGCCTGGCCCATCCCAATGACAGACCTGTTTCATCACAAGACTGGGCAAATTACCATTTTTGTTGTGATTAATGTAGTAAATAGGAAGGAAACAAGCCATTTTATGAGACCGATTTTAACCGTACATCAGAAAGCTGAAGCTGGGCGTACTGCGTTCTCACAGGAGTCCATCTGCTTGCTACTGCATGAGAACAAAATATATGGACTTTTTGAACAACTGAAAAAGGAGGTCTGGGGTGACTTTCCAGAAAGCGATCAATCGAATAACAGACAAGATAACAAACAACATTAAGTAAAGAATGAGTGAGGTCTATGTGTGTTTCTAGAAACCCTTCGTTATTCCGGACTCAACAAACAACTTTAAGTAGAACTTTGTTGGCTCCTCCCCCGCCTCCGCGTGACAAAAGCACAGACTATTGATAACAGGAACATCAATCCCATGTATTTCAATAGTGAAATATATTATATTATTGACATACCAGACATATGCAAATGTAAATAAAAATATAAACTAATTAGAAAATCAATTAAACACACCAAAGCAACCAAGATTAAGACCAAAATAAATTTGACCTATTTGGTGAAAATATAAAAATGGGCTCAAAATGTGATGTTGCTTCCTTGTAAAAAAAAAAAAAAAGGTGAGCAGCAATAGGAAAAGGAAGTAACACTTCTCAAAAGAAGCCTTAAAACAACTGGAGGAGGTGGTCGAAATATATATTTCATCCATCCATCCATCCATCCATTATCTTCTGCTGGATCCGACATTGGGTCGCGGGGGCAGCAGTCTCAGCAGGGAAACCCAGACTTCCCTCTCCCCGGCCACTTCATCCAGCTCCTCTGGAAGAATCCCGAGGCGTTCCCAGGCCAGCCGAGAGACATAGTCCCTCCAGCATGTCCTGGGTCTTCCCCGGGGCCTTCTCCCAGTGGGACATGCCCGGAACACCTCACCAGGGAGGTGTCCAGGAGGCATCCTGACCAGATGCCCGAGCCACCTCATCTGGCTCCTCTCAATGCGGAGGAGCAGCGGCTCTACTCCGAGTCTCTCCCGAATGACCGAGCTCCTCACACTATCTCTAAGGGAGAGCCCAGCCACCCTGCGGAGAAAACTCATTTCGGCTGCTTGTACTCGCGATCTCGTTCTTTCGGTCACTACCCATAGCTCATGACCATAGGTGAGGGTAGGAACATAGATCAACTGGTAAATCGAGAGCTTTGCCTTTTGGCTCAGCTCCTTCTTCACCACGACAGACCGATGCAGCGCCCGCATCACTGCTGTCATTGCACCGATCCGCCTGTCGATCTCCCGCACCATCCTTCCCTCACTCGTGAACAATACTTAAACTCCTCCACTTGGGGAAGGACCTCCCCCCTGACCCGGAGAGAGCACTCCACCCTTTTTCGGACTGAGGACCATGGCCTCGGATTTGGAGGTGCTGATTTTCATCCCAGCCGCTTCACACTCGGCTGCGAACTGCTCCAGTGAGAGCCGAAGGTCACGGTCTGATGAGGCCAACAGAACCACATCATCTGCAAAAAGCAGAGACCTAATCCTGAGGTCACCAAACCGGACACCCTCAACGCCCTGGCTGCGCCTAGAAATTCTGTCCATAAAAGTTATGAACAGAATCGGTGACAAAGGGCAGCCCTGGCGGAGACCAACACTCACCAGGAACGAGTCCGACTTACTGCCGGCAATGCGGACCAAACTCTGGCACCGGTTGTACAGGGACCGAACAGCCCTTATAAGGCAGCCCGGTACCCCATACTCCCGGAGCACTCCCCACAGGGCTCCCCGAGGGACGCGGTCAAATGCCTTCTCCAAGTCCGCAAAACACATGTAGACTGGTTGGGAAAACTCCCACGCACCCTCCAGGACCCTGCTGAGAGTATAGAGCTGGTCCGTTGTTTCACGGCCAGGGCGAAAACCTCCTGAATCTGAGGTTTGACTATCCGATGGACCCTCCTCTCCAGCACCCCCGAATAGACCTTACCAGGGAGGCTGAGGAGTGTGATCCCCCTATAGTTGGAACACACTCTCCAGTCCCCCTTCTTGAAGAGGGGGACCACCACCAGAAGCACCACCCCCGATGTCCACGCGATGCCGCAGATGCGTGTCAACCAAGACAGCCCTGCAACATCCAGAGCCTTGAGGAACTCCGGGCGGATCTCATCCACCCCCGGGGCCCGGCCACCGAGGAGCTTTTTAACCACCTCAGCGACCTCTGCCCCAGAGATAGGTGAGTCCACCCCCAAGTCCCCAGACTCTGCTTCCTCGTTTGAAGGCGTGTCGGTGAGATTGAGGAGGTCTTCGAAGTACTCCTTCCACCGACCAACAATATCCCGAGCTGAGGTCAGTAGCGCACCATCCCCACCATAAACAGTGTTGATGCTGCACTGCTTTCCCGCCCTGAGACGCCGGATGGTGGACCAGAATCTCCTCAAAGCCGTCCGGAAGTCGTTCTCCATGGGCTCGCCAAACTCCTCCCATACCCGAGTTTTTGCCTCAACGACCGCCAAAGCCGCATTCCGCTTGGCCCGCCGGTACTCATCAGCTGCCTCCGGAGTCTCACAGGCTAAAAAAGCCCGATAGGACTCCTTCTTCAGCTTGACGGCATCCCTCACCGCCGGTGTCCACCAGCAGGTTCGGGGATTGCCACCGCAACAAGCACCGACCACCTTACGGCCACAGCTCCGGTCAGCCACCTCCACAATGGAGGCGCGGAACATGGCCCATTCGGACTCAATGTCCCCCGCCTCCCCTGGGACATGGGCGAAGTTCTGCCGGAGGTAGGAGTTGAAGCTCCTCCTGACAGGGGATTCCACCAGGCGTTCCCAGCAGACCCTCACTATACGCTTGGGTCTTCCAGGTCTGACCGGCTTCCTCCCCCCACCAGCGGAGCCAACCCACCACCAGGTGGTGATCGGTTGACAGCTCCGCCCCTCTCCTCACCCGAGTGTCCAATATATGCGGCCGCAAGTCCGATGACACGACCACAAACTCGATCATCGAACTGCGGCCTAGGGTGTCCTGGTGCCAAGTGCACATATGAACACCCTTATACTTGAACATGGTGTTCATTATGGACAATCCATGACGAGCACAGAAGTCCAATAACAAAACACCACTCGGGTTCAGATCGGGGGGGCCGTTCCTCCCAAACACACCCCTCCAGGTCTCACTGTCATTGCCCATGTGAGCATTGAAGTCCCCCAGCAGAACAAGAGAGTCCCCGGGAGGAGCGCTCTCCAACACCCCTTCCAAGGACTCCAAAAAGGGTGGGTATTCTGAACTGCCATTTAGCACATAAGCACAAACAACAGTCAGGACCCGTCCCCCCACCCGAAGGTGAAGGGAGGCTTCCCTCTTGTCCACCGCGGTAAACCCCAATGTACAGGCGCCCAGCCAGGGGGCGGTAAGTATGCCCACCCCTGCCCGGCGCCTCTCCCCGTGAGTAACTCCAGAGTGGAAGAAGGTCCAACCCCCTCGAGGAGGTCCCCTCCTTCGGCCACTGCCCAACTCGCACTGCACCCGACCCCTTTGGCCCCTCCTATAGGTGGTGAGCCCATTGGAGGGGGGACCCACGTACCTTCTTCGGGCTGTGCCTGACCAGGCCCCATAGGTGTAGGCCTAGCCACCAGGCGCTCGCCATCGAGCCCCACCCCCAGGCCTGGCTCCAGGGGGGGACCCCGGTGACCCGCGTCCGGGCGAGGGAAAACGTAGATCCGTGTTTTTACTCGTCATAAGGGGTCTTTTTGAGCCGCACTTTGTCTGGTTCCTCACCCAGGACCTGTTTGCCTTGGGTGACCCTACCAGGGGCATAAAGCCCCAGGCAACTTAGCTCCTGGGATCATTGGAACACGCAAACGCCTCCATCATGATAAGGTCTCGGCTCCAGGAAGGGAAAAATATATATTTATAATTATTGCAGTGTTGTGCAGCATACTACACATAACAAGAACAGCACAGCAACATTCAGGGGGAAACCTTAGAGCTCTCAAGGTCTTGTGTAGGACCAGAATCTTCCACATGCCCAAAGCACCCAGTACAGCAGTGTCTTTGGTGTTCAGTCGCAGCTTGGGGATTAAAAACTGGAATCAGCAGGTATTTCCTAAGAGGATACCTGCTGTCTCTCAATAACCAGCCACCAGCAAACACACCATCCTTTGCCATCTGACACACTCCAAAGCTGGACCAGATATAAGCATCATGTGTACTCCCAGGCCACTTGGCAACGTCTGTAAAATGGCATTGATGGTTGCATATCACCTGGACATTTAGGCCTAGTGCCAAGAACCCTTTTTGACAGGTAGGATTCAAGGGTTGATGGGAGTTCCATCCACTACACTTACAATGCCAGGTATGCCTGCAATGGCATGAAAACCAATTTTAGTATCACTAAACCTGCTGGACATTATATGTAGTTGTGCGCACGGCGCAATGTGATCAATGCATGCATGGATGCAGGAGACCGCAGCCTTGCTGAGGCCATGTGCATCTGTAGGTCTGCAGGAATCCACCAGGAGCGTAGAAGCAGGGAGCTGTCAGAAGCTGTATGGTGCACTGAGGGCAAAATTCCAACGTGTTTGTCTTTTCAATTTATCCCGCACCAGACCAAGGAGGCTCATTATTTCACCCCAGGCCAGCCTGTATTTCTCTATGAATTGTTCATTACTGAGAATTGTTCATGGCCACCTGCAAAAGCAACTTGGCTTCCTGGACAGTGTTGTCTCAAACACTGTCTTCTGTTGACTTGCACAATTCTCTGCCTTTGCTGGTCGTGAGGAGTGATTCACCTTCCCAATTCAAATGATGTGACTGACAATTTATGAAGTGGACTTTGAATTGACTTGGCCACACCCTGTAAGATGCTGAATTTAAATGACAATAAGTAGAACTTAATTAATTTCAATTCAATGCAATCATACAACACAAGAATGTCATTTAATCTAGCAAAATATAAATAATTACATAATACATTTACTTCCAACATGGTAGTTGTATATGTTGATCTTATGGCATACAGGTGTTACAACAACAAGTCCCATTTGAGCTAATTTATAGTCGGCACTGTAGATTTATATTGCAATATTAACCTCTTATTATACCATCAGCATTATTACGTTGTCCAAAAAAGAGCATCAATGTGTTTTGTCATCTATTTTGGCCAATCTCTGTGTCTCTGTGACAGGACAACAGGCAAAACTTCAAATACAGAATGACGTGGAAAATAACAAGTGGGTTGGAGCACTCGTAAATCTACGAACAAGAGTTTGTCCAGTCGTGCTGTCATGAAGGCAAAGGAAGTGCTTGTGGAACTTCCTTGTACTTGTGGAAATGGCAAAAAAATTGCCAAAATTAAAATCATGCCTAAAGCTTGCCAACAGACAAGGAGGCCTTGTGGAACATTCTTTTATAGAGTAAAGAAAGTAATGGTGAGCTTTTTTGGTCTAACGCGTTCCATTTCCCAAATAGAACTATCGCTACCATTTACCTTTCAGGGGGTAGCATCATAATATGGGGGTGTTTTTAAACTGGAGGGAATCAGAAGCTGTTCATCAAGGACAAGAAGAGTGGAGTCAAATACAGATATATCCTGGAGGAGATTCCTAAATCTATTGGCTGTGTATTTTTCCAGTGTGAATGTGAATTTGCTGATCAAAATGCCAGGAGTGAATCACCCTTATGCATATAAATATTTAATTAAAATAATATCTTGGCTAAAGGGTTTTTCTGTTCACTGCTACTGGAAAAAACTATGTCATAATTTTTACATCCTTTTTAGAAGGTCATTTGATTTACATAACATTATCGGTAGGCATTCCAGGCTTGGCTTGGATAGAGAAAGGCTACATTCATACAACATTGGTAAGGAACAGGTGCTGAGATGCTTACAGGGCTTGATTTCACCACACATAATGAGGATGGGTTCATAAGCAGCAAGACAAAGCAAGAGAATTATCATGGCATGGGTATTTCAGTTCATCATCATAACAAATATTAATAAATACGGAGTACAAACATGGCTAATGCTTTGCAATAAATCTTACACCAAAACCAGATCTGAATCCAAAAATATATGCATCTATTAACTAGATTATTCTGCATCTTAATAAAAAATTTTCGAACCGTACCAGCAGGACTTATTTCTGTAGGTTAGAACACAGCCCTGAAGACCCACGCTGAGGAAGATAGCCAGCTAACCAGCAGCTGACTAAAGTCCTGTATGTAAGTCCGCACACACAGTATTGCCTTGGAAGAATACAGCTGCTACTGCAATGCACAGGGCAGCTTTTTCAGCATGTCTGCGGTAGCTCAAGTGTGAGTCAACCACTGTGCACCAGACACACTCATAAACGTCTTTAGTTGCAGCCAGATATGGTGCAGTCGTTCTGGCAGAGCAGTAGTTTCAACCGAAAATCCTTTTCATCCAGAGAGCAGGCTGGATGCACATGGCAAGTCTGTGTCAGTGGATTTTCACTGTCATCTCAAACTCTGCAGGGGCCAGGGAAGTTTATGGCAATTGTACATGAAGTTTCCCTGGAAGAAACAGCGCTTCCTTCAGGCTTGCAAAGTTGGCTTTTGTTCTTTTCTCCAACTCAAGAAGTTACAATCTGGCAGAAAGAAACCAGCTTTCAGTTAATTAGGTTACATAGTGATACAAACAAACAGTCATTGAACTGAAGTGAAGGAGGTTGCAAACAGATGAATTAACTATCTCAGTAATTTTAAAATATCTCTTGATTCAGAAAGGTTTCTGCTGGTGGTACCAAATTAGCTTTCCTGAGATCATTCCAGCTTATTGCTATCAGTACAGATTAACAGGAGACCTTTGATAATAAATATACAAAGTAAATAAATAAGATATATATACATGTTTGTAATTAGAAGTGGAAAAATGATGAGTAACTGTTTTGTGTTGTTATTGTATGAATGTACAGCAGGTGGAGCCAGAGAGCAGCGTGTAGCTATATTAAGGATAGAGTAGCGCGAGACAGGCATATCAGATCACTGGTCAGCTTGTTTCTGGTCTCAGTAAATTAGTCATGATAAGCTCTTGGCTGACAGAATTTTCAAAATAAGCCAACCAAGTGTGTTGTGATTTTATATTGTTCTTCAGTCATGTTATACCCAATTTGCATTAGAAATAACTGGAAAATAAACTGGAAGAGTTGCATTTGTTTTAAAATGGGTCATTCCATTTTAATGCACCAGATGTTTTTGCATCAAAGTGTTTTAGTTAAGAGCCTCATAACTCCTGCACCCCTTTGAATGACAACACATTTTTGATAGAGTACTTTCTTCCCAATAAAGTGGAAAAAATGTACCCCTCCCCCACATGCCTATTTTGAGGCTCAAAAATACATTTTTTATAAAAATAATAATAATAATAATAATAAAAAAAAACTTGTACCCTTTTTGGGGGATTTTCTTATAAAGAGGACCACGTAACAGGTCAATGTGGCATATACAAGTTGTACACAAACACAATTATTTAATTATTAAAAAATAATCTCTTTTTTATAACCAAATGTAGTAAAAATGCAGTTTGAGAGATGAATTTTGACCTTGAAAAAATACACTTGTGCAAAAGTTGAATTTGCCATACCATGAAAAAGTACTCTTTCTGAGCTTTCCAACGAGCTTTTGCCAAGGTTCAAAAATCACTCTAAATGATGTTTTTCTTTTTTGCTACCTGGGGTGTAGAAAAGGGACTATATCTCGAAAGGAAAACTATATTTATAAACAAGAATATTTCTGAGCTCTGAGAGATATGTGTAATTCACATGCCAAACTTTATCATACTCAAAAATGATGATGCAAAGGCCATTTGTTCAATTAAAATGGAATGACGCAAAAATATTACTGTAATTTGAGTTTAAATCTAAACAACCCAATACTGGAGGGTAAACACAGTGTACGCTGAGGACAGACCACCTACAAAACGTGTCAAAGGTTTTCTGCAGAAAGGGAATTCACTCACAGTCCTGTTCCGCATTGCTGTTGAGGAAGCAGTCGCCAAACAGGCAGTGCATGGTACGGAAACAGTTGTCCACCAAGGTTTTGGGAGTCACCCACTTCCAGGTCTTGACATCAGAATCCCTCAGCTTGGCCAAGATCTCCCGTATTTTCTCTGGAGGCTCCTTTAAGTACAAACACACACAGGATCAGGCTTGGGAACAGGGTCTACAGCTACAAATGTGTAGACATACTGAGACCGAAATGGAGGAGTAGTGCAAGGGTTGCCATGGCAATGGAGTATATAGTATATCAATGGTCTATGTGAGGAGGAATGCTGCCTTCTCATGCTCCTCACCTCATCCTCTGCCTCTTCCTCTACCTCGTGTTGGATCTGCTGCACCATTTGCAGGAGCCGCTCAAGGCCTGAGATGTAGCGGCGGGATGGGTGTCTCTCAGGGAGAATACGAAGGATTTTCTTTAACACCTCCTGGTTCACCATCACCCAAAGATGCTGCAAGTGTCTAAGCTCCAAGTCCGGTACCTTGGCCTTCTGTTTGAGGAAGAAAGGACTAGTGTTCTTATGAGTTATGCATGCTATCTGTTGATGTGAGTTGGTATCTGTATGAGTCATGAGTTAGTTCCTGTATGAATCACAAGGAAGGTACATAATAGTTTAAAAAATATTAAGCACTTACCAGTTTATTAATGTTATGCAGCCTAAAAACCTCCTGGGGGCGTACTCTGATGGTGTAATTCAAGGGGAAATTGTGCTTCTGTAAAGTAACAACAGGTTATAGTGCTAATCTTAACTAGATTCTTGCAATTTGCACATGCTGATATTGCCACCTACCAATAATTGCCTCCGATGGGGGGGTTGAAGGCTGGACTTCAGAGTGGTGAGGGATGTGCAGAGTGTCGAAGGAGTGGATGATGTCATCAGAGGAAGCAACACCCAAAGCAGGACTAAAACGAGTTAAAATATGTCTCACTATTGGTCAGCTGACCCCCAAAATGGCTCTTGCTCTCTGTTTTCTGATTCTCTTAACCTCGATCAGTATGCATCTCTACTCCCATCAGGACTTTTTCTGGTTTACTCTTTCTGGTTGGTGGTCACGCGTCATGTTGTCCCAATCACCCAAATTTCCATATTTCATAATACATAGCAGATTACAAGCAGTTAGGACCTCTAAAGCCTCCAAATTAAGCATCACTTGACAATGCCTTTGACTTTCTAGGTTTCAAGGCCAGTCCTCAATAAAGTAAGGAATAAAGTAACTCTTGAGATAGCACCAACCAATGGTTTCATACCTTCACTTCAATAAACTTGAGAACCACATATGGTTTCCACAGACCATAAAAACCAGCTAGCTAAAAATAGACTCCAAGCCAGAAACAGAACAAAGCCCAAAGAATAGAGTGATGATTGTACTTATGCCACTGAGCCCTGAAGCTTCTACAGTCAGAACAACTCAGGCCCTGTCTCCCAGAGTCAGTACTCCCCAGTAGGACGCACACCCACCCCACAGCTCAGCATGAAAGCAAGCGTGAAGGCAGAATAGGAACTGCATTGAGGCCTGTCTTTCTGAGCTGTCATTCACTCCCTTGACCAAGAGTCCAACGTAACAGCTGGATCCTCTTTTGATAAAAACATATTATTTGACATATCCGGGGATCACATCTAAGCGTTTCCGTCCTCAGGGACTGGGAGTACTATGATTGCCAGTTGGGATTTATAGCCTTAGCCATCTGTTAAGTACAGACTGTTTCATTGTGACAGAAACTCTCAAACGCAGAAAATCACTAATTCACAGAAAGGCACAAACTAACACAAACTCCCATGTGCCTTAAAAGTTCGAACACAAACACTACTGGTGACTTACCCAACAGCGTTCCGAGGCGTGAGGCACACAAGCACGGCATACTGCAAAATGATGACACGCAGCAGGCTCTCTGGGCACAATTCCCTCCGTCGTCCGCTCAATCTTCTCGGCCCCTCACACCACTATCCTGCAGCAGGCTGCACATGCATGACATGATGTAGAAGAGCAGCTAGTACATAATCGCAGGCCCTACCACACTTTCAGTTTCATTGGTATTTATATGGCGCTATTTCCAACGCTGCTGCCCCAAAGTGTTAAAGCACAATTCCCCCACCCACCCTGCAGCTGTTTATTGATCATGATACCTTACAGACATTTCTGTACAACTGCACAAACCATATGAAGTTTACATCTCTGCGCTATTTATTATTTCTGCACTTTTTATTTACTGCCTGTTTGCACCTTGCACACCCTGTTACTGTGATGTTAAGTGCACTATATGTTACTATATGTTGCACCGGGGCCATGGAGAAACGTTGTTTCATCACTCTTTGTACATGTATGAAGCTGCTGATGAAATTAAAGTAACCTTGAAACTTAAGTATTAAACTCAACCAGAATGTGGTTCAGATTTTTCACACATAGCTGCAAGAATATGCCCCCCCCCCCGCCCAGACTATGCAGAGCATGACACCTCACTGCACATAGTGTAGGAGGAGATTCACTGGACCACATCCTGGTTGCAATTAATACTGAGTGGGTCACTGCAATTGTAGACCACATCTCTGGCTAATACACAAGCTGGGTATTTAACAGTGGTTACACCTCCACATCTCATATGACACGGATGATGATTAGTCTTTGTGGGAATGAACTGAGCATGGTGACTTCATCACCAAAAGGCCTGTGTGTTCGTGATGACTCACCGCTGGTTGACTGATCGGCGTCCGGTGTGGGACCTCTGCCAGAGGTCACAGGTTTATGAACAACAGGCTCTTGCTTCTACACCTCCTCAGCCTTTTTGGAGGTGGCGGTTAGATTGCTAAGAAGAGAAACACAAATGAATTAGAGTTTGGTGATGCCCCTGGACCAACTACAAAAGGTTAAACAGTGGCATAGTACGTAGTTAATTCTAACATTGTCTATAAGTAATACGTTGTACAAATTCACAGAATGACAAATAAATGTACAAGCAGCACCTGCCTGCCCTATAGGCAAGACAGGCGATCGCCTAGGGCACCATTTGGTGCAAAGAGCACATTCTGTGACATTAGTATATTTACACTAGTTTTAATATTTCACTCTCTGTCTTGTGAAACAGAGAAGAGCCATCTAGTTAGCAGCCAGGACACCCAGTGCTATTTAATTTTACAATATAAATCAATTGAAAAAAATTGTTTTCTGCTGCTGGGGGGACAGCAACTCGCTTGGGGCGCCAGAAGACCAGAGCTGGCCTATAATACAAGTATTTGCGCATTAACGATTAAAGTAGGAAATACAGCAGTGATACCCAATTATTTTCCCCCAAGGACCAAATTCCGTCGGCAATTCAAACCACGGTCCAGCGGAAAAGAATGTCAAACGGGGGGGGGGGGGAGTTCCCGGATGATAAGTCTTGCTGACCGGAGGAGTTTCCCGAAGATAAAATTATAGGAAGGGGGTTAGCGTCGGGGGGTCGTTCACGATAAACTTCGTAGAAAGAATCACAGGGTCCAGACATAACTCAGCTGGTGACAACTGACATGCTCCCGCAAAACACAAAACGTTGTGTAATCTCTTAGTTTGTTATATAACTTAAGTATTTGTGAAACGTAGCTTCATTTCAGCCTGCAAAGCAGAAAGCAGTATTCATTTTTAAAGACCACAATATTGTTAGTTTTACTATTCGTCTCCACTGTCCAGGAATACTTTACGTAGACGATGTTTATGACTCCCCTAAACCAAGAATATTTCATCCGACAAAACATTACCTGCCTCATTATTCTGACTAGTCCCATCTATAATACTGTACAGCTGTAGCCCGAACAGCTGCAGAAAGTTTTATCCGGCTTTTACTACCAATATTTTGCTGTGAACTGGAGTCACAGGCGCCGTTAAAAAAAGAACCGCTAAGTTACTATAAACTGAAAGTCTAGTTTAAGTCAGATATAGAAAGTAAAAGACATCGAACCCCCTTAATGTAACCCATGCAGTATACGGGTCGCTTTTCTCCTGCACCTTCCCGCTGCGAGATCCCTCTAATAGGAAATAGTTCAAATATTGCTACGCACCTTTTAAATCCAGGCGTTGTGCAGCAAGATTCATCCTCCAACTGAACGATAGCCAAAAGAAGTTTGAGATTCATAAATTACAAGACCGAGCAAAACCGCGACATCACCGAAGCAGCTGAGAAGCTGTCCGCCTCTCCGCTTTATATGAAATCGAATCTGGAAATTCCCAAGATTGCACCTCCTCCTTCTCAGGCCCCTCGCCCCTAATCCAAAAGCACTCAGCCCCACTGGCGTACTTTCGCTTTCTGCTCTGACGACAGTATTTGGCTCCAATCTGACCTATCCTTTGAGCAGGGAGGGCAGTGACACGAAAAAGGTTTTTATTGCTATTCATTTTTGAGGTCTAGATTTATTATGTGACACATTTAATATTAAACTCTATCCCCTTTGCTATATGCATGAGATTCCTAGTACTTTATTCAGCTACGGGTGGCTGCCCTTCGCGGACAACTTGCTCTACAAAGAGCAAGTTGAGGGAGGCGTAAAAAGAATTTCCCCACGGGGATTAATAAAGTGTAAATTAAATTAATTGATTAATTACCTGCTATTCTCTGGTTGTGGTGTCTTATAGCCCCTTAATCAATTCATCGAAAAAACAGTATGAATCATGCAGGGGTAACTCTGTTGGTGTGTTTTATCCATTCTTCCAACTCTCTCATGCTAAAAGTCTTCAGAATTCTGATGCACCACGAATGCAAGTCACAGTGATGCATCACAATTAACAAGTAACAGAACAGTCCCCAAAGCCCTGTGATGCAATCCGCCTCCCCTGGGCCAAGCTGCCGCGGTGGCTGCCACTCTTGCATTCTCATGCTGCAAGGTTGCACCCATTAAGCCGCAGACAGTCCTCATTCAGCACATCAGACCACTCCTCAGTTTGCCTCCCTGCTGATTCTGGGATGAGGATTTTTTTTCTTGTGGTGGTGGTGGCTGTGGAGGGGGGGTTTGGTGAATGGATAAGATGTCTAAGCTTTTGGGAGCAAATTGCTGCAGCAGTAACTGCTAAAAACATGTGGTTAAAATAGTGCTGTGACGCACGAATCACTTCCACACAACATCCTCTCTATGGTACAGCTGTAACATAACTGCACTGCAATCTTCCTGCACTTTTCTTTGCTACCTAGCACTGTGAATCTTTGAATATCTATTATTTGTTAGTCTGGTTTTAATCTATTTGTATTTCCCAAGGTGCTAAATAAACAAACTATAGTCCCGATCTTCCTGCATTTGGGAGTTACAGTGACTCTCCCCATTTACAGTGACTCTCTCCGTTTACAGTGACTTTTTCCTCCTTTAATCTCACAGTGGTGCATGGAATCGGATGCTGCCTCCAAATTACTTCAGACTGACAGATCCTTGCTACTGAAAACAGTGGAAAATTATTTCTTCATTCATCATTAACCTGTCAGAGCCACACAAATAATTACACATCTGAAAGTTATTATGATGTCCAAAGAAAGGGGGCATTTTGGTTTGGAAATTCTTGAAAGGGGGTTTCCTTCCACTGCCAAAAAAGAAATCAGTGGTCAAAACAACATATGTCACCAGCCCAAAGAGGGCGACATCACTGTGGAAATCCCATGGCAGGGTGGGGTGGTGCGGATAAGGTGATGATGGAGAAATTCTTTCCTTAGTCTGGACATTGTGTGCATGTTTGGGGTCACCGGTCATTTCATTTAATTTCCTACTTCCCATTCTTTTCATTGCTCTCCATGAAACCACTGAGCCCCTAATTTTTGTTGCTCTGAAAATGAACTGAGCGTCCTGCAGTAGAACCTTCAAATCCCTTTACTGATTGTCTCGCTATCAATGACGTAATTTTTAAATCATTCCCATCCTACTTATCACTCCAGAAAACACTTTCTTCATCAGAACATAGCCGAGCATATCACTGTTCATATAATTTCCCCTTACAATACAATAAAAAAGATCTAATTGAACCAAATAAGGCACTCAAACAGGAGAGCTACCTCTGATTGGAGGAGCAGGCTGTCACCAATAAACTATAGGTGTTTGACTAGCATGTTCATTTTTTGCATCCCCTGACAAGAAAGTGCATCCAGTTTTACATACACTCAGACCATTAGAATGCTTCACGCATCTGCTTACCTCCCACCTGTACCTCTGTCTCCTCTACCTCATTTCCCAAATATCTAACCACTGCTATTCGTTGTCTGCCCAGACTAGACTGTGTTCTACCACACACACACAGGGAGTCATGTACCACAGCCTTTAGTGACCAATATGTGGGCTGTGGGTTATTGCACCATAGTCCTGAATCCATGGAGCAGGAGTTCCGGGAGGAAACACAAGGACTAGGAACTGTTAGCAGGTCCTGAGGCTATGAATAATAGGAAGTCACAGTTGTGCATCCTTTGCGGTTTCATGAAAGATCAACTGTTTGCATTGTTTTGTGTGCAGCAGTTTCTTGTATAGGTTCATTTGCTCGACAGCTTTATGTTATATTGGGCTGTTCTGGTAGTTTGATTATGAGCTTCCATATTCCAGGTAGTTTCAGTGATATTTTTTTCTGAGTTCTTGCATGTGATCTGTTTACCTTTCCTAGAGTTCATGTTTTGCTTAATACCCTGACTTTTGTTCCTGATCCAACCCTGACCCATCCCGTTATTAAATGTGCATCGTTCATTGTACCATTGAGCAGAGGGGTAAACCTGACACATTCATCAGTATTTGCTTCTCACTCTGCAGTGCAATGCACACTGGTCAAACAACCACACACTTTTAAAACTGACAAGGTTTTATTGATTTAGTGGCACACATCTGCAGTCAGTGTAAGAGACAGATGTGGCTCAGAGGATAAGGCACCATAAGGACCTTTTTATCTCCTGTTACATCACTAACACGCCACACAGCAAAGCACCTTATCACCCTGACAACATCTGTTTGAAAAATAAATGAATGTCACGTGGGTCACCAAGCCACTCATCTGGCTACAGACAGTGCTTGTTAATAGTGTTAAAGGCCACAGATGTTTAACTTGGTATTTTCTTAGAGTTACAAAGTATAACAAAGCCAGTTTTGCTGCCTTTTCCTTTTTTATTGTATAAGTTTAACCGCTCTGTGCCTGGCCATCAGAGGCATCTGTTACCAGGTTCCAGCCCCAAAACCAGAAGTCAGCAAAAAATTCTAAATGCTTTCCAGATTGCAAACAACACATGAAATTCATAAAAAAAAATAACAAGAAGAGTTTTTTTTTTTTGTGCCACCCATTACTTCAGCACTGGTGGTAACAGAAGTATCCCACATTGTCCGGGCAGAAACAAACTTTGTGTGTTTGATACTCCATGGCGGTCTCCCCGGAGGCCTCTGAAAGTGATGCGGACTCTATAATGCAGTCTTTCCCAGCATTCCAGTGTACGTTGCAGCTCCCCTCTTCTCCTTTTAGAGGAGTGAGAACCACAGCAGCTGGGTTTGTGTAGTTTCTGTGAGTGAGGAATGTGTATGCATGTTTATGTGAATAAACACAGCCACCAAGATTATGTGTGTTTGTTTTAACAAACATAGCCTCAACTCATTTTAATGAAAACAGACTTGTGTTTATATTAATGCTACCGAAAGTAACTTTGTATGGTAACACGGTTTCAGTCTAGGGGTGGTGTGTGGTTCAGCAGGTTAGGACACCGTTCTTGTAATTGGAAGAACATTAGTTCAAATCCCCGTAGAGTGATTTCACTTGTGGGCCCTTGAGTAGGGTGCATAACCTCAATGCTCTTCCTTACAAAAATGTATAATTATGCATCCCTTAATGAGAATAATACACTCTGAGAGAGACCACAGAATGTACTTATACACTATGCATAACACAGTAAACTTTTTTTAAGAAGTAGAAAGAATACATTCTAAAACAATGATTAAAAAGTACAGTATAGTAAATTCATAAACTACTACAGTTGACTAAAAGGTTATTATGCGACACGTGACTGTACATCACTCTGGGTAAAAGCATCTGCTAAATAAATGTAATGTAACATCATCTCTTCAGTTTTGGACGAGTTTGTGTGCTTCATTGGTCCATGTAGCTATAAGAAGCTGGGGATACATCACACCGTGTAACAATGCATTATGTAGCAACACTGTATTATGTAACAACTCAACAAAATGTAACAAATTTATAGATTACATTATAATGTTATATTGCAACAATATCCTATTATTATTATTATTATCACCGATATTATTATCATCATTCAATTTGTCACATTCTGTCGAGTTACTACATGATACATTGTTACAAGGCCACCAGTATAACTTGGCCAGGCTGAGCTCAAAATGACTAAATGGAGCCAGCTTGGGGGAGCACCATCTTCTGGATTTGGGAATGTGGAACATTTTCGGTCTGTCGGATGGAGCCTGTGTAGTGTGGGAGGTACTGGATAGATATGATCAGCCATACTTGCAAGCATGATGTGGGCTCTGGAAACATTTGTTGACATTATTATGACTGGAAGCTCGTTATCCATTGCCCCCATCGAAAGTCGGTAATCATAAGCCCACATAATCAAAGTATGTGCAACTCTGTGTGTCATGGTATCAAAACTACTCTGACAGTAACACTTATTTTATAAGTCATTCAGAACAGCGACAAAATGAGGAACTGGACCTCTGCCAACGAGTAAGTGATTCATGTGACAAACAGACATGAATTTTTAATATGACATACAAGCATGAATTCCTAATTATTTTAATGTTGTGTGACCGTGGTTAATGTACCTATTTGTCTGTTTTGATCTTTGCACATTGTGCCACAGTTTCCTGCCACACTGTGGTTTTTTTGTACCCTATTTCCTATGACGGTTATGCAGTTCAACATAATCACACTCACTTTTCCTGGAGCTGGGGAAATGACATAGATTAGGGGCGTCATGCCCCGCTCGTTCACTCCTCCCATGTGCCATGCCCCCTCATCTACCTCGTGTGTTATCCCCATGTTTACCAGCTCTTTCTCATTGTTGTTGATTAGTCCAATGTATTTAAGTCTGCATTAGGTATGTTTTCCCAAGTCCAGTCATTAACGTTGTGACGTTGCTGCCAGTCTATCCTTGTGTTTCCTAATAAATGTCTTGGTTTCCTAATAAATCCCTCATTCCCCGATTCTCTGTCTCCCTACTCCTGCTTTCCCGGCCCGTGTTGTTACGAGGGGCATATGAATTTTTTATTTTTTTTGCACAAGTACCTTGGAATGCTACTTTTTACATACC